CTCGTATACGATTTTAGTATCTTTTCAGTCCTCTATTCTATGCTTTTGAATGTTTATTGAGAAATGCTATGTGAAATTTCGTTGAACTAAGTGAAACTTGCAAATATGGATTCCTATCTGTTTGATAAGAACATTATCTATCACATTTAGAATGCTTAAATCTGAAATTGGAAGCCTTAGAGGCTTAGTTGTCTGAAATTGATTTAAGATTTGAACTTGGCATGATTTTTAAGCTATAATGAGATTTTCTGTCAAATTTCAATTTGGGATGTTTAAACGATTGAATTTTGTCTTTATATGCCTTTAAGTATACCTATATACTTGTGTTCCTTACATATTGAGTTAAGAACCTTGTTTAAAATATCTCCCAAGAAAAGGGTTGAGAAGAGAGGGTTGGAGAAGATCAACAAGGAAGAGAATTTAGGAAAATTGAGAAGCTCCTTTGAGATTGAAGTCCAAGCTGAGATTAATTCATCTAATTTCATCATTTTCTTGCTTTGGGTAGAAATCCCTTTGGTGTTATGTGATTTAGAGTTATAATGGAAGTTTTAAGTGTAGAGGTTGAAGAATTAACATGATAATCTCATCCTTCATTTCTTTTTCTTTAATTTGAGTGATCTAGTGAGAAGATACATCTTGTTCTCTCAATTATCAAATTACATCCACCTTTATAATCATGTGTGTGGGTATGTGTATGTGAAGATGGAATATTATAGAATTAACTTATATTGTTGAACTTAAAGTTAATGCTCTTATTTACCTTAGATTGATGTATGTGAATGCAATTTTATTTCCATAATTTTTAGACCTATTGGAAGCCTTGTGATCATCTACAAAAAATGGGGTTTTAATAGAAATTTCGAACTGAAAATATGCAGAATCGCCACACGTGCGGGAGTTATGGCCGCACGTGCGGGAACAATTGCAGCATGTGCGGGAGTCACAGCCGCATGTACGGGAAAATGGGAAAATTTGGAGTTTTGGTTCTGCTTAAAAGGCACGTGCGGGACCATTCTGCCACACGTGCGGGAGAGTTTGCCGCACGTGCGGGGCTCACAGCCGCACGTGCGGCCCAGGCTAGAAATTTCGGGATGCTCCGTTTTGCGTGTTGGACCCTCTAATATTATCAGAATCTGTATTTAATACCATTTTGATATCTATAAATTCAGTCGAAGTTAAGCAAATCAAAAAATGATTGAATAAAGAAAAGAGAACTAATTTGTGATCTTGTATGTGTGTAGGACACACTCTGGGAGAAACGAGTGCTCCGCCTCGACACTGTGAGTAATAGTACATTAAATGTACATCTGTCTACTGTTAATATCTAATACTATTAACATTCGGTTTTCCATAGATTACTACATTAACATGTGTATAGAGTGAACTCGATAAAAATGTGAACATTGAAGGAAATTTGTACATCTGTATGCTTCTGGGCCGAAAGGCCGTTCTGTTAAGTCGAAAGGCTGTTCTGTTGGGCCGAAAGGTTGTTCTGTAAATTTCTGGGCCAAAAGGTTGTTCTGTTTTTCTGGGCCAATAGGCCATTCTGTTATAACTGGGCCCAAGGCCATTCTGAAAGTGATACCGCATCAGATTAACTGTATGGATTCTGTTTTTATGAATATAGTATGATGTATTACGATTTAAATTGGGTATTAAATTGTTTAAGTACTGTTATTCACTGAGCTTGTCTCACTCTGTACTCTTGTTTAATTCTGTAGGTAAACCCACTTGGAGGTCAGTCCTAACATCGATATCATCTACCTTTTGTCAACTTAAGTATGCCCAGGCATTTTAGGAAGCCGTGCACTTATTAGAGTTTTGTGGATTTTGGCTTGTACTCGTACCGACTACCAACTAAAGTTTGAATGTACTTACTATTTTGCTAGTTGCCCAATCTTAGAATTGGTGCTGTATAACTGTATGTAAATAACTCAGTCTCAGATGCATATCTTTTGTATGTTTAATTACCGGTTGTTGTGTGATCCTGGCATGATGATAGTAGCTCAATGGATACATTTTGAGGTCATCTTTGACCATCTAACGCTTCCAGTTAGGCCCCTCAGGTTATATATAATAGGTTAAGTGTCTGTTTCCAAATAGGTCATACCCAGACTGTTAGGGGCAAGTTAAGGGTGTGACACGCACATCCACCCTTATTCAAAAACCAAATACCGATAAGAGTTCAAATAAGTCTCGTGCCGTCTTAGGGTTTCGCGACACAATTTACGTAAAAATTATTAAAAAACAGGACTCACCCTGAACAACCGGTATTAACCCTCAATTATTAACTTTGTACAAGCTGTTTGTCACGCCCTCAAAATAATACATAAAACCCATCATTTTAGACATGCAATGATATAAGAGAAATCAACACCTTTCTATTCATCAGAGTAGTTCTTACAACAATATTACATGTTAACAACAAAAGCAAATGCCCTACAGGCTTACAGCTTTCCAAGTCAACACTTGGTTACAAAAAGAAGAGTAGTAACTCTATACAAAATAAGCCCTTTGCTTGATATACATGTAATACAAACAAAATAATCAAAAAGAGTCTTCAACTCCCATAACCATCCAAGCTATGTCCTTGGAGGTGGCATGCTACCTGCACCTGAAAATAATAGTGGTGTTTGGTGAAGCTTTTTTTGCCCAACTTTTGGCTTTTGGCTTAAAAAAAGCTAATTTCAGCTGTTTGGTTGCCTGGTATCTGCTTCAGCTTCAACTTCTACAGATTATCAGCAAGGGGAAAAAAGCTGAAATTCAAAAGCTGGTTGAACCAGCTTCAGATTCTCGCTGGTAAATCGCGGAAGGCAATTTGACTTAAATGTCCTATGTGTTTTGAAAGATTTACCCTTATACCACCTATATATGTTCTTTTTTTTGCCCTAATCTTGTCTTTGGCAAGAGGTCAGCAGCAACACAGCAACGCAGCAGCAAGTTGCGATCTGGTTCAGTTCCAGAGGCGTGAAGCTCTGGTTTGTTTCCGGTGTTGGTTTGCTTCCGGCGATGTGCTGCTCTGATTCGTTTCCGACTTTGGTTCGTTTCCTTCATCTTTGATTTTTCTTTTTCTTGCTCGGCATGCATGTTTATATATATATATATGTGTGTGTGTGTGTGTGTGTGTGTATTGTTTTGATTATGTTTGATTTTAAATTTGTTCAGCATGTATTTCAAATATATATATGTATTTCAAATTTGTTCAAATTGGGGAAAATAAGAATAGTTAGGGTTTAGGAAAATTTTGGGGAAATTTATTTTGATGTTAAAAATTTGTGTAGGAGTTGGTTTATTAATGCTCTGTTTGTATGAATCAAAAAAAAAAATGCTTTGTTTGTGTTAGGAGTTAAAAATTTTACTGTGATTATTCTATTAAAAATTCATAATAATAAAAATTTGGGGAAATTTATTCATTCTTTGATGTTAAAAGTTTGTTCAAGTTATTTATTTATTTTTTTTCCTGCTAGTGATGCAGGAAAAAATCTGTGCATAAGGGAAATGGACAAAATTTTAGCTTATATTTGGAGAAATTAGTATGGCATAATTTTTTTCAGAATGGGATCTCTAACTGTGCTTCAATCTAAGGATTCAAGGATTTCTAAATGGAATAGAAAAAAGAAATTTATTTTTAAAAAAAGAAGGATTTATTTCACTCACTTATGCATACAAGATTAAAAATCACAGAGTACAAAACATATAGATAGAAGCCACGCAAAGCAAATCAAATTAATCAAAATATGAAAAGTGAGCTCTAAACTAATCACAGAATTATTGATATATAACAAACAAATTACTAAGAGAAGATTGTCATATGAGTGAGCTCTTGTGAATAAGAGCACAAAGTTATCTATGACTGACAGTAGGCATGTCTTTTGAATGTTCATATATATTTGGAGCTTTTGTTCTAAACTTAATCTGTATGTTCGTGTGACTTGAGTGGATGTGTTTTGGTGAAGATCATTTATTTTGTGGCTAATTCATCAATTTTTTGGGGCTATTTGTTTAATTGTCCTTGTCTTAGATCTGTCTGTTTGTTTTAAATTTCTGAGAGCTGTTTCATAAATATGCATTGGTTCATAAATTTCAGAATTTCAGAATTTAATGCAACACATATCATAAATATGTGTTTTGGTTTCATAAATGACTTGAGTGGATGTGTTTTGGTTTCATAAATTTCAGAGTGGATGTGTTTTGGTTTCATAAATTTCAGAGTGGATGTGTTTTGGTTTCATAAATTTCAGAGTGGATGTGTTTTGGTTTCATAAATTTCAGAGTGGATGTGTTTTGGTTTCATAAATTTCAGAGTGGATGTGTTTTGGTTTCATAAATTTCAGAGTGGATGTGTTTTGGTTTCATAAATTTCAGAGTGGATGTGTTTTGGTTTCATAAATTTCAGAGTGGATGTGTTTTGGTTTCATAAATTTCAGAGTGGATGTGTTTTGGTTTCATAAATTTCAGAGTGGATGTGTTTTGGTTTCATAAATTTCAGAGTGGATGTGTTTTGGTTTCATAAATTTCAGAGTGGATGTGTTTTGGTTTCATAAATTTCAGAGTGGATGTGTTTTGGTTTCATAAATTTCAGAGTGGATGTGTTTTGGTTTCATAAATTTCAGAGTGGATGTGTTTTGGTTTCATAAATTTCAGAGTGGATGTGTTTTGGTTTCATAAATTTCAGAGTGGATGTGTTTTGGTTTCATAAATTTCAGAGTGGATGTGTTTTGGTTTCATAAATTTCAGAGTGGATGTGTTTTGGTTTCATAAATTTCAGAGTGGATGTGTTTTGGTTTCATAAATTTCAGAGTGGATGTGTTTTGGTTTCATAAATTTCAGAGTGGATGTGTTTTGGTTTCATAAATTTCAGAGTGGATGTGTTTTGGTTTCATAAATTTCAGAGTGGATGTGTTTTGGTTTCATAAATTTCAGAGTGGATGTGTTTTGGTTTCATAAATTTCAGAGTGGATGTGTTTTGGTTTCATAAATTTCAGAGTGGATGTGTTTTGGTTTCATAAATTTCAGAGTGGATGTGTTTTGGTTTCATAAATTTCAGAATTTAATGCCTAACTAGAACATCTCTCATGTTTAATACAACACATATCATAAATATGAATAATAATCATGTGTGTCAAACATGCATTGGTTCTTTTAATAAGAATGTCAAATTGGGTTTTGTGTCTAATGTTAGATTTACTAGAGCATCATGAATTAGATATGAGCACTCAATACTACATGTGACATACAACAGCAATATAATCATTGGAAAATAAATGATGATCATGAGTAGAGAAGGTAGTTCGAACTATATTCTTTTCTCATATCTTAGATATAAAAGATTACTAACAGAAAATAAATACTAAATATATAGCATATTAAATTATGAACAAGAGAACTAATTTTGATTTTATATAGCATATTAAATATATAGAATAGGTAATATCATCCTGATTTTACATAAGGACTAATTTTGACTATTTCAACTGGCCCTTTAAAGTAAATCAAATTTCTGAAAGAGTTGTCTTTGGTGAATCATGATTTTAATAGAAAATGAGTTCCCAACCACCATCACAATCTCCAACAACTACAAAGAGTAAAGGAAAAGCTTCCCAAAACTCCCAACCCTCACAAGGTTTAAAGGCACATTGGGACACAAAATCTACTGAAATTTTTGTCAAACTTTGTGTGGAGCAAGTGAAAGCAGGTCACAGACCTGGTACGCACTTAGATAGGGTTGGTTGGGAAGCAGTTATTAACAAGTTCAAAATTGCAACTGGAAAGTCATATGTTCGCATTCAGCTTAAAAATCGTTGGGATACCTTAAAAAAGGAGTGGGGTCTTTGGAAAAATCTATTGAGAGGTGAAACTGGGCTGGGGTTAGATCCCTTGACTGGAGCTATCATGGCATCTGATGATTGGTGGAATTTGAAGCTACAGGTTAGTGAATTATGTTAATTTTTTTTTTCTTGGTCACTTGTACTTGAGCTTTATAATTTATATATTTGTAATATTTGTCCATATTTTGTTATAGAGGTATCCTGATGCGGCCAAATTTCGTGAGAAGCCATTGACATTGGCCGATGACATGGACATACTATTCTCTGATGTTTCTGCAACTGGTGAGTGGGCATACACTCCAAGCTCTGGAGTGTTTCTTGACACTGAGGGATCTCACACCCCACTTGGTGATGATACTGATACGGAAATTCATCCATCTGAATTGAGCAACCAATGTCGTCGCCAAAAAGAGGGTCCATCAAAGAAACAAAAGGGGAACAAAAAACAATCGGTTGCCGGTGAGTTGAGTAAGACACTTAACCGCATTGTCGATGCTGTGGAGGCATCATCTTCAACTGGTACACAGAATGCTTCTATGCAAAATCCGCACACAATAACTGAGTGTTTGGCTAAGATTAGCACAATCTCTGGCGTTAGTGAAGACGATGACCTTTTAATTTGGGCTGCAAGGTTGTTCATGAAACCCTCACTTCGTGAGTCTTTCATGGCTTTGCCTAATGATGTGTTGCGTTTGAAGTTTATTAATCTCGAAATTGCTTTGGAAAAGGCTCGCATTCCTGGTTTTCGTGATTAGTTCATTGTGCGAATGTGTGTATGTTTTTTTTTTATTATTTTAAAAAACATTATTAGGACTATCTTTAATTAATTTGGCTTGATGTTATATTTATGTTTGCCTCAGTGAATTATATTTATGTCGGCCTCCTCAAACTGCACATGAAAAATTCAACAAAACACATTCATCACTCAGGAGCGTAATAGAAAGATCATTTGGTGTTTGGAAAGCAAGATGACCTTTTATAAAAATATTCTATGCAATTACGATATTGTTTGTCAACGGCAACTTGTTTGTGCTACCATGGCTATCCACAACTTCATTAGACAAACTAATTTAAGGTATATTACATTTGACTCCTATGATAAACACTACAAAAAAAATTGCTTTTTTGCGACGGTAAAATGCCGTCGCAAATACCCCAATGCCGTCTCAAAAGGTTTTTTGCGACGGTAAGTGGCTTTTTGCGACGGCAAGGGGGGGTCGCAAGAAAGGGGGTTGCAAAAGGGTTTTAGCAACGGCATAACGCCGTCGCCTTTTGTTTGCGATGGCAAAATGCCTTTTTTGCGACGGCAAAATTCTGTCGCAAATAACGCGTGAAAATCTGAGTTTTTTTTAGACGACACAAAATTTAAATAACAAATAACTTACTAAATAAAAATTTTAACAACTAATTAGGGAAATTTAGATTTTCACATAGTCAAAACTTAACAACTAAATTACGAGTCCGCATAAAATATTACAACAACTTTATAACATTCGTTATTATTAATACCAAGGATAACAAAATTTTATTTCGATAGATTATTGACTTTAAGTTAGCTAAGGTTCAATATTAGCAGCAGCTCCAAATTCAGCCTCAGTCCCTTCTTCGACATAATCTGGCATGAAACGCCAGGGTAACAAAATATATGTCATGAGTTTTGCAAAACAATAAGAAAACATAACCAACCTACCATTATTTTTAAAAGAAAATAATCAAATCATGACAATTAAAATAATAATAAAATTCAATAGCATGATAAATGTAACAACCATTATAATAATTTCGACAATTTTAATAGTTTAGGTGACACTCAAAATCTTACCAAATAGATTTTCTTACTAACCACTAAGTCATGGCCACGATTAATTTGGAAACCCCCCCTTGGTCAAATATTAAAGAACTACCAAAGATACCCACACATTGAGTTACATACCCAAACTTGTGCCATCCATGGTCTGGCCCAAGGGAAAGGTCTGTCAGGGGTATGTAATCTCCTTGTGTGCCACCCGCACTGTAATAACCCGACCCTCGTATACGATTTTGGTATCTTTTCAGTCCTCTATTCTGTGCTTTTGAATGTTTATTGAGAAATGCTATGTGAAATTTTGTTGAACCAAGTGAAACTTGGAAATATGGATTCCTATCTGTTTGATAAGAACATTATCTATTACATTTAGAATGCTTAAATCTGAAATTGGAAGCCTTAGAGGCTTAGTTGTCTGGAATTGATTTAAGATTTGAGCTTGGCATGATTTTTAAGCTATAATGAGATTTTCTGTCAAATTTCAATTTGAGATGTTTAAACGATTAAATTTTGTCTTTATATGCCTTTAAGTATACCTATATACTTGTGTTCCTTATATATTGAGTCAAGAACCTTGTTTAAAATATCTCCCAAGAGAAGGGTAGAGAAGAAAGGGTTGGAGAAGATCAACAAGGAAGAAAATTTAGGAAAATTGAGAAGCTCTTCTCAGATTGAAGTCCAAGGTGAGATTAATCCATCTAATTTCATCATTTTCTTGCTTTGGGTAAAAATCCCTTTGGTGTTATGTGATTTAGAGTTGTAATGGAAGTTTTAAGTGTAGAGGTTGAAGAATTAACATGATAATCTCATCATTCATTTCTTTTTCTTTAATTTAAGTGATCTAGTGAGAAGATACATCTTGTTCTCTCAATTATCAAATTACATCCACCTTTATGATCATGTGTGTGGGTATGTGTATGTAAAGATGGAATATTAGGGAATTAACTTATATTGTTGAACTTAAAGTTAATGATCTTATTTACCTTAGATTGATGTATGTGAATGCAATTTTATTTCCATAATTTTTAGACCTATTGGGAGCCTTGTGATCATCTACAAAAAATAGGGTTTTAATAGAAATTTCAGACTGAAAATATGCAGAATCGCCGCACGTGCGGGAGTCATCGCCGCACGTGCGGGAGTCACGACCGCACGTGCGGGAAAATGGAAAAATTTAGAGTTTTGGTTCTGCTTAAAAGGCACGTGCGGGACCATTCTGCCGCACGTGCGGGGCTCACAGCCGCACGTACGGCCTAGGCTGGAAATTTCGGGATGCTCCGTTTTACGTGTTGAACCCTCTAATATTATCGGAATCTGTATTTAATACCATTTTGATATCTATAAATTCAGTCGAAGTTAAGCGAATCAGAGAATGATTGAATAAAGAAAAGAGAACTAATTTGTGATCTTGTATGTGTGTAGGACACACTCTGGGAGAAACGAGTGCTCCGCCTCGACACTATGAGTAATAGTACATTAAATGTACATCTGTCTACTGTTAATATCTAAATGCTATTAACATTCGATTTTCCATAGATTACTACATTAACATGTGTATAGAGTGAACTCAATAAAAATGTGAACATTGAACGAAATTTGTACATTTGTATGCTTCTGGGCCGAAAGGCCGTTCTGTTAAGCCGAAAGGCTGTTCTGTTGGGCTGAAAGGCTGTTCTGTAAATTTCTGGGCCGAAAGGCTGTTCTGTTTTTCTGGGCCAATAGGCCATTCTGTTATAACTGGGCCCAAGGCCGTTCTGAAAGTGATACCGCATCAGATTAACTGTATGGATTCTGTTTTTATGAATACAGTATGATGTATTACGATTTAAATTGGGTATTAAACTGTTTAAGTACTGTTATTCACTGAGCTTGTCTCACTCTGTAATCTTGTTTAATTCTGTAGGTAACCCACTTGGAGGTCAGTCCTAACATCGATATCATCTACTTTTTGTCAACTTAAGTATGCCCAGGCATTTGGGGAAGCCGTGCACTTATTAGAGTTTGTGGATTTTGGCTTGTACTCGTACCGACTATCGACTAAAGTTGGAATGTACTTACTATTTTGCTAGTTGCCCAATCTTAGAATTGGTTCTGTATAACTGTATGTAAATAACTCAGTCTCAGATGCATATCTTTTGTATGTTTAATTACCAGTTGTTGTGTGATCCTGGCATGATGATAGTAGCTCAATGGATACATTTTAAGGTCATCTTTGACCATCTAATACTTCCAGTCAGGCCCCTCGAGTTATATATAATAGGTTAAGTGTCTGTTTCCGAATAGGTCATACCCAGACTGTTAGGGGCAAGTTAAGGGTGTGACAAGTGGTATCAGAGCATGAGTTGCTATCTCACACACGGGTCCATTGAGCTCTAGGATGTCTAGCAAGATTTAGGCATCATGCGTGAATGAACAATTGATAGCAACGTCATATGTATTTTGCTAACGCTAATGATCATGAACCATGTTCTTGTGTCTTCTGTGTATGTTGTAATTGTTTGTCTTGTAGAAAATTGTGCGAACAATGACAGAAGATCCGGAAGAAGCTATCTCAGTACGGTTGGATAGAATGGAAATGATGATTATGGAAATGGCGGAGACCATACGGCAACAGCAACAACAACAACAACAACAGCCACAGCCGCCGCCACCACCGATACCTCCACCTGTAGTGCAAGATTTTCACGCTGAGGACCACACCATTATACTTACAAAGGAGTTTAAAAAGATGAAACCACCATCATTTAAAGGAATAATCGAACCAATGAAGGCTGAGGCATGGGTGTTAGGAATCGAAAAGTTATTTGAAGTTTTTCCTTGTACTGAAGTCCAAAAGGTGCAGCTTGCTGCTTTCACTCTTGAAGATGAAGCCCGAAGGTGGTGGATGCTTACAAGAACAATGCACCAGGGGTTAACATGGGACAGATTCTTGGAGCTGTTTTATGATAAATATTTTCCCCAAAGTATGCGAGACAAGAAGGTGACCGAATTTGAAACATTGAGACAAGGAAATAAAACTGTTGCCGAATATGAAGCCCAATTCGCGAACTAGACCGGTTTGCACCTCACATGGTGGATACAGAATATAAGAAGGCGCGAAAATTCGAAGGGGGATTGCGGGGTACTATTTTGGACCGAGTGAATGTGTTGAAGTTGCCTACCTACGTTGATGTGTTAGAAAGAGCTGTTATAGCAGAAGGCAATATTGCCGCTCAGACTCGAATTTCTGAATGGAAAGGAAAAAAACAGAACAACCAATGGTTCAAGGGGTCAATTACTTCACCAAACAATAAGCAAAATTGAGGGACCTCTAGCACTACCACATGTACTCACAATTCCGCTCCTGTGTGTCCAGAATGTGGATGAAGGCATCGTGGAGTTTGTCACCGACTGTCTGGAGCATGCTTCCGATGTGGTAAAACGGGTCATTTGATAAAAGATTGTCCGCAAAGGAATCAGCAAAATGGTAATAAGGCCGCCATAAGTTCAGCGGGGTCTACACCAGCTCCTAACGCCAAGGCAGCTACTAAACCTGTTAACAATAAGGATGCGACGAGACAAGGAAGGGTATTTGCGTTGGTTCCAGGAGATGTTCAGAATGCAGCAACAGTGGTGTCAAGTACATTCACGGTCCACGATCATTCTGCTTATGTATTATTTGATTCTGGCTCTACCTGTTCTTTTGTGTCAAAATTATTTGCGAAGCATTTAGATAAACCTGAAGAAGAATTGACTTATGTGTTGTGTGTATCTTCACCTATGGGAAACTCTATGATCTGTACCTCTGTATATTCTGCTTGTGAACTTCTAATTGGGGATGTCCGTGTATATGCTAATATGTTACCTCTTGATATGAACTTGTTTGACATTATTCTGGGAATGGATTGGTTGGGTGAATATGGGGCCACCATAGATTGTCTAACTAAACAGATCAGTTTCCATCCTCCCGGGCAATCGGAATCCACTTTTCAGGGATATGGGGTGACTTCTCCACCGTATTTGATTTCTGCGGCAAGGGCGTGTAAATTAATCCAGAAGGGATGCCGGGGGGTATTTGTGTAGTGTATTGGAAGGGCAAGCACTGAATGAGAGCACTGATAAGATTCCAGTTGTTTGTGAGTTTCCGGATGTTTTTCCGGAAGCATTGCCAAGAGAGTTAGTGGATCGCGAAATTGAGTTTACAATTGAAGTAGTCCCGGGAACTCAACTCATTTCTAAAACTCCGTACCGGATGTCACCAGCTGAGATGAGAGAATTGAAGACTCAGTTGCAAGATCTATTGGATAAGGGGTTTATCCGTCCGAGTGTCTGTCCATGGGGTGCACCGGTTCTGTTTGTGAAAAAGAATGATGGAACACTCCGACTTTGCATCGATTACAGGGAACTTAATAAGGTAACAATTAAGAATAAGTACCCACTGCCACAGATTGACGACTTGTTTGACCAGCTACAAGGAGCACAAGTCTTCTCGAAAATTGACCTACGGTCTGGATATCATCAATTAAAAGTTAAAACTGATGATGTTGAGAAAACATCATTTCGAACTCGATATGGTCACTACGAATTTCTGGTTATGCCGTTTGGAGTCACTAACGTACCAGCGGCCTTCATGGATTTGATAAATCGCATCTTTAAGCCCTATTTAGATTAATTTGTGGTGGTCTTTATCGATGATATTCTTATTTACTCGGAGACTACAAGAGCACATGAGGACCATCTTCGCTTAATTCTTCAAACCCTCCGAGAAAAGAAGTTATACGCGAAGCTTAAGAAATGTGAATTCTGGCTACATGAGGTGCCGTATTTGGGGCATGTAATAACAAAAGAAGGAGTTTCTGTCGATCCAGACAAGATTGAGGCAATCATGAATTGGCCAACTCCTACGAACGTGACCGAAGTACGTGGTTTTATGGGGTTAGCCAGATATTACAAGAGATTCGTTCAGGACAACTCTAAGATTGCTATACCACTCACACAGTTGACTAAAAAGGGAGTTGCATTTGAATGGTCAGAACCACAGGAATCTACTTTCCAAGAATTAAAAATGAAGTTGACCACCGCTCCGGTCCTTGCTCTACCGTCTGGTACTGAGGGTTTTGTGATTTACAGTGATGCTTCACATAAGGGACTTGGTTATGTGCTTATGCAAAATGGAAGAGTGATAGCTTATGCCTCCCGACAACTTAAACCCCATGAGAAGAGTTATCCCACACATGATCTGGAACTAGCTGTAGTAGTTTTTGCTCTAAAAATATGGCGGCACTATCTTTATGGGACTACTTGCGAAGTTTATACCGATCATAAAAGCCTCAAATACCTTTTTACCCAAAAGGAACTGAATATGCGCCAGCGGCGGTGGTTGGAGCTTATTAAAGATTACGATTTGCAAATCCATTATCATCTTGGTAAAGCCAACGCGGTCGCAGATGCACTTAGCCGAAAAAATGTGGGGAATTTGGCAAGTATACTGACGGAACAAAAGGAGTTAGTAAGTGAGCTGAATAAGATGGAGGTTGACTTGGTGATACATGGTCAGGAGGCAATAGTGGCAGCAGTGATGGCCCAACCAACATTACTTGAGGAGATTAAATTACGCCAAATGGAAGATGGAGCTCTAAAGAAGATACGTGATAAAATGGAGGCAAAATCGAAACCGGGGTTTACTTTGGTGGATTCTGTACTTATATTTCAAAACCGCGTATGTGTCCCTAATGTGCTAGAACTTAAATGAAAGTTGATAGAAGAAGCACATGCCTCAAGGTTTTCAATGCATCCAGGAAGCACTAAAATGTATCGAAATCTGAAACAAACTTTCTGGTGGCCAAATATGAAAAAGGAGATTGCAGAATTCGTCGCTAAATGTTTACAATGTCAGCAAGTAAAGGCAAAACACCAGAGACCAGCGGGATTGCTGCAACCCTTTCCGATTCCAGAATGGAAATGGGAACATCTGACTATAGATTTTGTTGTAGGCTTGCCACGGACTCTCCGTGGTATGAATTCTATATGGGTCATCGTAGACCGATTAACTAAATCTGCACACTTTCTGCCTGTAAAGACCCAGTACAATGCAGACAAACTCGCTGTAATTTATGTGAATGAAATTGTAAGACTCCATGGTGTTCTGGTCTCAATTGTGTCACCTCAGACAGACGGACAATCCGAGAGGACGATACAGACGTTAGAGGATATGCTCCGAATGTGTGTTTTGGATTTCCAAGAAAGTTGGGAAACCCACCTATCACTGATAGAGTTCGCATACAACAATAGTTACCATTCGAGTATTGAGATGGCACCTTATGAGGCTCTGTATGGCAGACCGTGTCGTTCTCCCGTGTGCTGGGCTGAAATTGGAGATAGATCATTACTAGGGCCTGAAATTGTTCAGTTAACAACAAAGAAGGTCAAAATTATTCGGGAAAGATTGAAAACTGCTCAAAGCAGGCAGAAGAGTTATGCGGACAACCGACGAAGGATTTAGAATTCGAGGTGGATGGTCATGTTTTTGTAAAAGTTATTCCGATGAAAGGACATCCAAGATTCAGAAAAAGGGGTAAGTTAACGCCCCGATATGTTGGCCCCTTCCAAGTTTTGGAAAGAGTGGGTCCAGTGGCTTACCGAGTTGCCCTTCCGCCAATTATGAGTCAAGTGCATAATGTGTTTCATGCCTCTATGCTCCGAGGATATCTTCCAAACCCGTCACATGTCATAGATTATCATCAGATTATTCTGGATGATAAATTAACATATGAAGAGAAACCAATTCGAATCCTAGACCGACAAGTGAAACAGTTACGGAACCGAGAAATTCCAATGGTGAAAGTAGAATGGCAAGAGCATTACGGAACCAAAGCGACTTGGGAGAAGGAAGAGGAAATGCAACACCAATATCCGCATTTGTTTCCGCTCTAAGGTAAAACAAGTTTGGAGGACCAAACTTATTTAAGGGGGGGAGAGTGTAATAACCCGACCCTCGTATACGATTTTGGTATCTTTTCAGTCCTCTATTCTGTGCTTTTGAATTTTTATTGAGAAATGCTATGTGAAATTTCGTTGAACTAAGTGAAACTTGGAAATATGGATTCCTATCTGTTTGATAAGAACATCATCTATCACATTTAGAATGCTTAAATCTGAAATTGGAAGCCTTAGAGGCTTAGTTGTCTGAAATTGATTTAAGATTTGAACTTGGCATGATTTTTAAGCTATAATGAGATTTTCTGTCAAATTTCAATTTGGGATGTTTAAACGATTGAATTTTGTCTTTATATGCCTTTAAGCATACCTATATACTTGTGTTCCTTACATATTGAATCAAGAACCTTGTTTAAAATATCTCCTAAGATAAGGGTTGAAAAGAGAGGGTTGGAGAAGATCAACAAGGAAGAGAATTTAGGAAAATTGAGAAGCTCCTTTGAGATTGAAGTCCAAGGTGAGATTAATCCATCTAATTTCATCATTTTCTTGCTTTGGGTAGAAATCCCTTTGGTGTTATGTGATTTAGAGTTGTAATGGAAGTTTTAAGTGTAGAGGTTGAAGAATTAACATGATAATCTCATCCTTCATTTCTTTTTCTTTAATTTGAGTGATCTAGTGAGAAGATACATCTTGTTCTCTCAATTATCAAATTACATCCACCTTTATAATCATGTGTGTGGGTATGTGTATGTGAAGATGGAATATTATGGAATTAACTTATATTGTTGAACTTAAAGTTAATGATCTTATTTACCTTAGATTGATGTATGTGAATGCAATTTTATTTCCATAATTTTTAGACCTATTGGAAGCCTTGTGATCATCTACAAAAAATGGGGTTTTAATAGAAATTTCGGACTGAAAATATGCAGAATCGCCGCACGTGTGGGAGTTATGGCCGCACGTGCGGGAACAACTGCCGCATGTGCGGGAGTCACGGCCGCACGTACGGGAAAATGGGAAAATTTGGAGTTTTGGTTCTGCTTAAAAGGCACGTGCGGGACCATCCTGCCGCACATGCGGGGCTCACAGCCGCACGTGCGGCCTAGGCTAGAAATTTCAGGATGCTCCGTTTTGCGTGTTAGACCCTCTAATATTATCGGAATCTGTATTTAATACCATTTTGATATCTATAAATTCAGTCGAAGTTAAGCGAATCAGAGAATGATTGAATAAAGAAAAGAGAACGAATTTGTGATCTTGTATGTGTGTAGGACACACTCTGGGAGAAACGAGTGCTCCGCCTCGACACTTTGAGTAATAGTACATTAAATGTACATCTGTCTACTGTTAATATCTAATGCTATTAACATTCGATTTTCCATAGATTACTACATTAACATGTGTATAGAGTGAACTCAATAAAAATGTGAACATTGAACGAAATTTGTACATTTGTATGCTTCTGGGCCGAAAGGCCGTTCTGTTAAGCCGAAAGGCTGTTCTGTTGGGCTGAAAGGCTGTTCTGTAAATTTCTGGGCCGAAAGGCTGTTCTGTTTTTCTGGGCCAATAGGCCATTCTGTTATAACTGGGCCCAAGGCCGTTCTGAAAGTGATACCGCATCAGATTAACTGTATGGATTCTGTTTTTATGAATACAGTATGATGTATTACGATTTAAATTGGGTATTAAACTGTTTAAGTACTGTTATTCACTGAGCTTGTCTCACTCTGTAATCTTGTTTAATTCTGTAGGTAACCCACTTGGAGGTCAGTCCTAACATCGATATCATCTACCTTTTGTCAACTTAAGTATGCCCAGGCATTTGGGGAAGCCATGCACTTGTTAGAGTTTTGTGGATTTTGGCTTGTACTCGTACCGACTACCGACTAAAGTTGGAATGTACTTACTATTTTGCTAGTTGCCCAATCTTAGAATTGGTGTTGTATAACTGTATGTAAATAACTCAGTCTCAGATGCATATCTTTTGTATGTTTAATTACCGGTTGTTGTGTGATCTTAGCATGATGATAGTAGCTCAATGGATACATTTTGAGGTCATCTTTGACCATCTAACGCTTCCAGTCAGGCCCCTCAGGTTATATATAATAGGTTAAGTGTCTGTTTCCGAATAGGTCATACCCAGACTGTTAGGGGCAAGTTAAGGTTGTGACACGCACATCCACTCTTATTCAAAAACCAAATACCGATAAGATTTCAAATAAGTCTCGTGCCATCTTAGGGTTTCGCGACACAATTTACGTAAAAATTATTAAAAAACAGGACTCACCCTGAACAACCGGTATTAACCCTCAATTATTAACTTTGTATAAGCTGTTTGTTACGCCCTCAAAATAATACATAAAACCCATCATTTTAGACATGCAATGATATAAGAGAAATCAACACCTTTCTATACATCAGAGTAGTTCTTACAACAATATTACATGTTAACAATAAAAGCAAATGCCCTACGGGCTTACAGCTTTCCAAGTCAACACTTGGTTACAAAAAGAAGAGTATGAACTCTATACAAAATAAGCCCTTGGCTTGATATACATGTAATACAAACAAAATAGTCAAAAAGAATCTTCAACTCCCATAACCATCCAAGCTATGTCCTTGGAGGTGGCATGTTATCTGCACCTGAAAATAATGTCCCATATAGGGTGAGCCAACGCCCAGTAGAGATATGCTAAACACAATATGAGCAGTAACTAAGACATTAGCAATTGATAAATGTTTGACTTATATAAACCAATTCATATACCACTTTCATTACATGACCACAGTGTCCATATTTCATTTCACTTTCCATCTCTTATCAAATTCACAATTCACAACAACGGCTCAGAACCTGGCCAACACTTTACATGAGGTAGTGACTCATATTAAACATTTCTCATTTCACAATAGATAAGCATATTAGCTATATCAACACTTCGATAGATAAGCATATGAGCTATATCAACACTTCCATAGATAAGCATATGAGCTATATCAACACATTAACTGATAAGCATATGAACTGTATCAACGGAGTCCATCCCCTATCTCCTCTCAAACAATATCCGGTTTAGAGGTCCATCCCCAATCTTTACCTAAATCGTGAAGTACATCCCCTATCTCTTCTCCCACATACACAACGTATATACACAAAGGTCATATACATAATAAATTAATACATAAAGTTAATGTATTCTTTCAACCGTCATACTCTATGACACATCCAATTGATTAGTTTTAGTTTGCCTAATCATCATGCATTGTCTACAACAATCAAAACTACCCTCCACTGGTAGCCCAAAGCAATTATTTCTAAACAGATAATAAAAGTACCAACAGATAAAATATCCATATTTTCCAAAGTGAGCAATTAATAAATCTGACTTCACTAATCCATCTCATAATGAGCCAATTTCATTATATTCAACTCAATTCCACAATTTCTCACCAAATGTCATTAATTACACTAATGACCCAAATATACCCAAACATAGCATAATTCCCCTTTGTTCTCAATACTGACTCCAAGAGTCCATATATTACCAACAACATCAACCTACTCATTTTGAAACCCAAATACGTGTTTATGGTCCAAAATAATCAAAACCCTCTTTTCAAAAATATACATTTGAAACCCTAGTTTCCAAAACCCAAAACTATTTATATAAAATACTCAATATCTAGGTCAAAACCCATAAGAGTGAGTAGGAATCCCTACCTCAAAAGATGAAACCCAACGAAGGAGATTACGAAAATGAAGATGCTCCAAATCCTGAAATTTTTGGATCAAAGTGTAGCCCTCGACGATCAACACCTTTTTTACAAAGGCCAAAAGGTGAGAGATTTCCCTAGCTAGATCAATACTGAGAGAGAAGTGGGGGTTTTAGAGAGAGAAGGTCTCAAATGGCGTTTTTGAAAAGTAAGAGAGAGAGAGAGAAGTTGTAAAAAGTGATTTAAAAATGCCCAACTGCCCTCTGATATACGACAGGTCCGCTCGAGCGGAAAACACAATGCTCGAGTGTCAAGAATAAAAAACTGGGTCCGCTCGAGCGCAAGAATGCCCACTCGAGCGCCAAGACACAAGAATAAAGTACATCCGCTCGAGCGCAAAAAACCAATCCGCTCGAGCGTAGATTCCCCCCTCCTAGAACTTTCACAGACAAAGCACTACCCGTTCGAGTGCCAACATACCCGTTCGAGCGTGAAAAACATGCTTGCAGAAGTTTTGCAGAGCACAAAAATACTGGGAGTGTGCAATCTCCGCTCGAGTGTTATACGACCCGTTCGAGCGGAACGACTAAAAACCTGGCGACAAGATTCTAGACCAAGGCTCAACCCACCTGCTCGAAACATGCTCAACACATCCTAAAACTCAAACATAGGGAATAAAGGATGCCAACAAGATTAACAGCAAACAAATCCACGGAGCCAAAGTCCGGAATACAACAGATACAGAAAGGAAAAACCGGGATCGCTGTACTGTTAATCGTTTCAGTTAGTTTTTATATTAATCACAAATAATCCCAATTTTATTCATCAATAATGTTGTACCAACTCATAAAAATTCCCAACATAAAATGTTACACATGTCACACTAAAATAAATCAATGTACAGGATTTAAATAAACAATTAATTTAAACCATGGTATGAAATAATAATGTAGATACCAAAAAGAAATAAATCATAATCACACACATGTATGGATTTTTAATCTACAAAATTAGACTAGCACAATATTAAATTTTAGCCCAAATAAACAATTGAAGAGATAATTTTTTATTCCTCCTGAATTTGCCAAAATTTTCAAACTGTATATCTCGCAAATAAAATTATAAATAAACTACTTATACAACTCTAAAATTCATACAAATCTATAGAAATACTCAATAAACATGTTATGATCATTTTTCATAAAGCATTTTCCAAAAACAAATTATAAATAATTCTTAAAAATTCCAAGAAAGTTTATGACACAAATTTATCACATTTTCTTAAATTAATCCCATACTTAAATTTATAAATCAATTCCATAATCTAAAATTTTATTATGAAATTAGACTTCTCAAATTCCATTTTTTGTTTAGAAATTAGTAGATTTGCTTTAATATAAAATTTTTAATGATTTTTCAAACACATAATAAAATCTGCCTATAGCTTTAGATTTGGTTAAAAATCTGTATAAATTTGTACAATACTCCATAATTGTTGCAAAAATGCATGGATGAAGTAGACATCATTCTAAACAACTTTGTAGAAGAAATCATCTTATTTTAGTCCAAATAAACAATTGAAGAGATAATTTTTTATTCCTCCTGAATCTGCCAAAATTTTTAGAATGTATATCTCGCAAATAAAATTATAAATAAATTATTATACAACTCTAAAATTCATACAAATCTACAAAATACTCAATAAACATGTTATGATTATTTTTCATAAAGCATTTTCTAAAAATAAATTATAAATAATTCTTAAAAATTCTAAGAAAGTTTATGACACAGATTTATCACATTTTCTTAAATTAATTTCATACTTAAATTTATAAATCAATTTCATAATGTAAAAATTTATTATGAAATTAGACTTCTCAAATTTCATTTTTTGTTTATAAATTACTAGATTTGGTTTAATATAAAAATTTTAATGATTTTTCAAACACATAGTAAAATCTTCCTATAGCTTCAGATTTGGTTAAAAATCTGTATAAATTTGTACAAAACTCCATAATTGTTGCAAAAATGCATGGATGAAGTAGACATCATTCTAAATAACTTTGTGGAGAAATCATCTTCAAATTTTGAGTATAAAATTGTCTAAAAATTCGTATAAAATTTCTGACAGATTCAAGGACCAAATAAATTCTTCAATCCGCTCTTTAATGGTATAAATTACACATGCAAGCCTATTTCTACAATAATACCATGACCTTAAGATTATCAATATCTTCAAATATTTGATATACACATCACAAAATTTACATACATATATAAAAATTTCTATCTATAAATTAGTCATTTTATCATCTGAAAATTTCAACAATTAAAAAAAATGAGAGAGTTGAGAATGTTTTCTTACTTAGTTGTAGGATTAAAATGGAATAGTGAAATGGTAGGAAAATATACAACCTTAATCTCTCACTCTTCTTCTTCTCCTACTGCTTTGGTGCTCACAGAATTTTTTTTTTTTTTTTTTCTCCCTCTACTCTCCTCACTGATCTGGAGGAGTATTATGCATATGTATATATATAATCATGTTGAGCCTTTCCCCACATCCTCTCTCTCTCTCTCTCTCTCTCTCTTTCTTTCTCCTTATCTTCATTCTATGAAATCACTTTCTCTCAATTTCAAGAGCATAATGAGCTCTTCTTTCCTATATTAACATGTAAACAAACATGTGGCAAAGTTGCCACTGAAAATTTGCTTATTTATTTATTTATTTATTTATTTTATATTTGTGTATTTGTGTGAGTTGCTTAAAATTGATACACTTAAATTTTTAACTAAGGTATTTAGTAAGAATAATTATCATGTTGAATCCTAATTAACATAATTTATAAACAATAAATATTGAATACCCACAAAATTATTATTCTTAATAATATCTTTATTAATGATTGAATTGGGTTAATTTAAAACTAACTTTTACACTATCATATATTTTAGATAGACTTTGGATAAAATTAATTAATTAATTAATTTATTTATTTTATTTTAAAGCTAATTAAATGCGGGTTTTCACAATTTATATTTACAAAAATTTAAAAACTGTCATAAAAACTTGTTTGATAATTTTTTTGGTTTATAAATAGTTGTCTCAGTTTGTAAATTTGAGAAAAAAACGTAAATTAAAAAAATGAGTTTACTTTAGTTTTTAAATAGAAATTTAAAAATTTGATTAGAATTTTTTTTTTTCAATTAATTTTTTTTTCAAATAAATTTTTTTTTTCAATAAATTTTTTTTTCAACTAATACTAACTGAGGGGACAATTGGTAATGCTACTTTAAACCTTTAGGAGGAGATTGTAATTTCTAAAATGTGTGGGGTGTCAATGTAATTTACCCAGTGAGGGCAAAATTGGTATTTAGAAAAATTAAATTGCTAGAGAGAGCAATCTGTAATGCAACTTTAAACCTCAGGGGGAGATGTAATTTCTAAAAGGTGAGGGAGAATTGTAATAAATATAAACTTCAGGGGGTGTCAATGTAATTTACCCTATTAATTTTGATTTATGTGGTACAATTAGATAATAAAAAATACAAATTAATGACACACTCACAAAATATTACAATTTCATTAAAAATATTATAATTATTATTAATAAAATTTATTATTGATTTATTTTTTAAAATATGCACATAATTACAATTTCTGCTCAATATTGTGCAAATTACTAGCTTGATTTGCTGGATAAATATGTCATTTTTTACAAATCAAGTTCCTTTTTTTTCCTCTTCTTTTTTTACCTCTAAAAGGACCAAAACAGATAAAATCGACAGAACTGTCTGCATTCAAACTAAATCTTAATTTGATTAATAATCAGATCATTTTATAATTTTAGACACTTGCACCTCCTTCGACAATTTCTCCTACTCATTATGTTAACAATCTAATTATTATTCATCTAATCATCATCTTTGATCATGTGTACCGCTAAAGGCGAACAATCACTTTTCACAATCACTTTCATTCCTCAATAGTCACCACCTGATCAACATTTACTTTTATTTTCAAATTAAATTTAAAAAACACGTATGTATCAAAATATTATTATTTATTTTTACTTTACTAAACAATACCATAAATATTTTTGTAAAAAATAAAAAACCGTAAATTGTAACTTTACCAGGCGAGACTTTTTTGTGTTTTTTTGATAGAACTAGAGGAGACCTAAGAAAATCAACCACTAGTATTATTTTCTATTTTCTTTCCGAAGCCCAATTCGCTAATCATCAAAAAGCTATACGAATCGATCAGTCCAAACGTGAAAAAAGCATTTCCAATTCGTCTCGCAGTTTTGTTAAACACCATGACTGTGGCAGACCAAATAAATTCTTCAATCCGCTCTTTAACTTGGACCCTCTCTCTCCCTCTTCGTCGCAGTCATCTCCAAGAAACCATTCTTGATCCTCACCGTTCTCTCCAGGTACTCTTATACCCCCAATCTCATTCAATTTCTCTAATTTTCTCAAATTACTAGCAAACTTGATTGTTTACACCTGTTTAATTGATCTTTTTCATACTGGGTCTCTTTATGTCTCTCCATATGTATATAAAGTAGACATTTTTATTGGGTTCTAATCTAATGGGTTTTCTTTAATTGATGTGTTGTGGAGTACACTGGTATGGCATTTCATACTGGGTTTCTCTCCATCTATCTGTATGTATATTGGGTTCTAATTTTCTCCAATTACTAGCAAAGTTGTCTAAATTTGATTGTTTACACCAGTTTAACTGATCTTTTTCAGACAGGGTCTCTTTATATCTCTCTACATGTATATGAAGTAGACATTTTTATTGGGTTCTAATCTAATGGGTTTTCTTAAATTGATGTGTTGTGGAGTACACTGGTATGGCTCTTTTTTTTCATACTGGGTCTCTCTCTATCTGTCTGTATGTATATTGGGTTCTAATGGGTTTGCTTAAATTAATGTGTTCTGTAGTATACTGATATGGCTTTTCATGCTGGGTCTCTCTGTATCTCTATATATATGCACATTCGTATGTATACCCACATAGGCATTTTTATTGGGTTCTAATGGGTTTTCTTAAATTGATATGTTGTGTTGTACATTGGTATGGCTTTTCATACTGGGTCTCTCTCAATCTCTCAATATGTATATGTGTATGTAATGTATACGGTAGGCATTTTTAATGGCTTCTAACGGGTTTTCTTAAATTGATGTGTTGTGTAGTACACTGGTATGGCTGATAAGTTTAATAGTTCTATCAGGACTGTGGAGAGGTTTTCTTCCGCTGAAAACAACAGCTTGGTGGCCATATGGGATTCTTATACTCACTTCTGTTGCCTTTCAAGAAGGACTTCGCATTCTCTTTTGGAGAGTCTACCAGTATGTTGTTCTTGTGTTTGTATTATATTTTGGGAAGAATTTATTATTTATACTATTTTATTTTTCTTTTCTTGGATTTGTCTAGGAGGCTGGAAGATATATTGGATGCTTTTGCCGACAGAGTCTCAAAACCGCGGCTCTTTTTGACAGATAAGATGCAAATTGCTCTTGGTAAGCTTTGAAGAGGTTTTTTTCTCGACTGTTAGTAGAATTATATGTAGTAATATATGTAGATTCTTCTATGGACATGCCTTGACATTTCATTTGATTAAAAGCCCTTTGCTTCACACCATGATACAGTCAGTGAATGATTATGGGAAGGGCTTAAAACATCCTTCCTGTCAAGAGGTTGCAATATAAATGTAAGATACGTACAAAAGTGAGTGAAAGAAATAGGTTGTACATTAGTATGGATGGGTGGACGGATGGGAAACGATATATTCTACCACTAATATTATTATTAATAGTTCTGAAGTGACAATTCTTCTAAAATTGGTGGATACCTTCGCAATTTGCAAGGATGCTTATGGTTTGTTTGAGTTACTTGACTGTATGGTGAAGAAAATGTGGTTCAAGTGGTTATTAATAACTGCGTATAATTATTCCCATGAGCTGCTAATGAAAAAGAGGGAAATTTTGTTTTGGTCTGCGTGACCCATTGCATATATTTGATGCTTTCTAACACTGGTGAGCTACACTATTCTTTTAAGTGTGAGGAATTCCTCAATGATTGCTTGTCCTTGTCTAGTGTTGGGAGATGGGGAATGCGAGGAAGATAATTCAAGTGGTTTAGAAAACCTTCGACATCTTTGATGACAATGACAAAGATGAAGAGGGTTTGAAGATGCTAGAGAGAGGTCATGGAAAATTCTACCCGTGTTCGTCTTATTTTGAAAATTCTTTTCTTTTTTTTTTATCCCTTGAATCTTGGTTCTTTTCTTTTGGAACCATTCTCCATACTTTTTTGGTTTTGAACCAATTGAAAAACTAGACGGTTTTCTTGATAGCCACCCTACATCATTTAGTTTGTTTTGTTTATCTTCACATCAGTGGAAGAGGCCCAGAGGATCCTTTTGGAGAAAGAGGTAGGTTCTTTGAAGGTAGGGCGATGATATTGGATTGGTTGGTGGATCGGAGAGTAAGTGTGGTTCTGTCTTATATTGGTGTGTCTTATATTGGTGCTAGTGATTGATGAAATTTGACTTGATTCAGTTATTCAAGGTCAACATGAGTGCTGTAATTTGAATTGTTAGGATCATTTAGGATTGTTTGGGACAAACAAATCCCAATCTTGAACATATTAACTGAAACCCTACTTCTCTACAGACACAGTACATTTCTGGCACTTGTAGCCCAGTTATGCACTGAATATGGAATATATCGGACTCTTTTTTTCCTCTCTGATATATTTAATTTTTCCAAAATGTTTGGTAGCTCAAAATTTTGTGGCTCAAATGGCTCAAATCTGTCAAAACGACGTCGTTTTACACTCAAAATCTGTCAAAACGACGTCATTTTGACAGATTTGAGCCACAAAATTTTGAGCTACCTAGCATTGTTGTTAATTTTTTTGATAAGGGTATGTACTTTATTTATTGACAAAGATAACATTGAGTGATAATATTGTTCTCCTTGCCTAAATAAAAATAAAAATAAAATGTTCTCCTTACTGTCTTCCATTGCTAATCTGATGCAGTTTAAATCAATTGTATGCAGCTGGTGGTATGGGTCATGGTGTGGCCCATGCTGTCTTTTTCTGTCTCAGCCTCTTAACACCTGCATTCGGCCCAGCAACATTTTATGTTGATAAGTGCTCACAAATACCATTTTTCCTTGTTTCTGGTGAGCAAAAAATCTCTTACAAGTCATTAGTTTTTAGTTGCTTTCAGAATATTTCATGTGAATTGGCATGTTAGTTCTTTCGTTTTATTTTTAGTTATGTATTTGTTAAGACGTATTACAAGAAGGTACATGAGTTCTTGGTACTTCAATAAGCAAGGTTAGAGTGGATTGTAGTAACAAGAATTCTCGCTCCATAACCTATTAAAAGAAAATTGGAGCTCGGCAAAATGGGAGCACGAATAGCACCTCCATTTTCCTTTAATAATGCTTCAGTTTTTGTTAGTCAATGTTCACGGTGAAATGATATTTGTTGGCTTATATCAGTTAGTAGTTGTGGATGTTTTTCGTTCAAGTATAATTGTTTTATGAATTGCAGCAATTATTGCTCTTGCATTTGTTACGATCCACACTTTCTCAATGGTCATCGCATTCAACGGATATGCAGAGAAGAATATAGTCGACCAATTATTTGTTCCCATAGTTCACCTCATTTCAGGAATGCTGGTAAATTTTCTCTACTTTTCATTGTTGAACATTATATTTGTATCTGTTCCATATTCCAATCACAAATTTTTTTCCAAAAATGTATATGCGATCTTGTGTGGTCTCTCTCTCTCTCTCTTGTGGGGACTTTCTCAAGTGGTGTCTAGAGAGAGAAAACCCCCATCTGCACTGTTACGCTCAGCACATGTTATTTGGCCTTGTATATGTATGCGAATTCTATCGGTTTAATTGAAACACGTGCCTCATGCATATTTTGTTATGATGGGTTTTTTTGGCATTGAAGTTGAAAATTTAATCCTTTCTGGGCTATTGTTTAGAGTGGCAGATAATAAGCTAGCTTTCAATGCAAAAAGACTAAGAAATTCGTGTCTTTACTTAAGGGTTTGTTCGGGAAGCGGGTTGACTTTTTGGCTTTTTTGGCTATTTTAACCCGGGGTTTTTGATTTTTTTGTGAGAGAAATAATGTAATGATTATGGATTAGATGTGATGTTTTGTCTTATTGGGCTAAAAAGTCTATTTTGTTTTTTGGGGCTATTTTAGCCCAAAAAAAGCCCAACTTTTTTCTTCCCAAACGGAGCCTAAGAAAATAGAGAAAAAAAATAAAAGAAAAGAGTGAAAATAGTATAAAGCACAAAATCATAATTTTGGATTCTGACTGACTTGTACCCTTTTTTTTTTTCCTGCAGACGCTTATAAACCTTGCATCTGGGGGTTGTGTTGTTGGAATTCCTCTCCTGTATTTCATGGCTTTGTTGACTTTGATGCGTTGTGGGAAGATGGTTTGGAGGAGATTGACAGAAAACCAAAACAGGTAGTGGATTCACACTCAGCTTGGGTAAAACTAGTTTTGTTGTGCAAGTCTCTTCTCAGTGTAAGTGAGAACTTCAAATTGACCAGAGAGATGCTTTTTTTTGCATGTATAAACGTCTCAATTCTGTATTTCCCTAACATTCAGAACAATTCCTGTTAATTTTGAAACAATATGTTGCTCCTAGTCTCTATTTTCCCGCTCTTCTTTTTCTTCTAAATATATTGCAATTTTTGTCATCTTTTCTTTTTGTCTATTGGTTTGACAACAATATTGAATATTTGTTCCTCGAGTTTGTTATACAAACATACAAATCATACAAACAATTCTTACTCATAGATATAACAGCTGAGTTATTTCTAACGTGTTATTTTAGTAGGTGCCACTTCTAATACAACAAATTGAAAAATATTTTTCATATTTTCTGGCATTTAATACGAGAGAATGAAAACATATTTTGATGCCTAAATAAACTTTATTTTCCGTTTGTTCGAAGGGGGCTGCAAAAATGGAAAGAGGAAACAAAGTGATTTTGTATTTACATTCATCTTGCATGAGCAAATGCACACAAGCCTTGTTTTGGGGGAATTTAATGTGAACTTCAATTTTATTTTATTTTTATTTTAATATATGCAGGTTCTAGTAGTGAAGTTGATGATCTTCAATATGATAATCCAAACAACTACAATATTGTCACGTGTTTGAAGTAAATTTGAATGAGCCAAAAACCCAAGAATCTTAATGGAAATTGAAAGAAAATTATGAAAATTTGAATGCACTTGTATATAAAAAAATAAATAAATTAAGTAATATTTTGATTTACAATTTAGATTAAACTGGAGAGGAAGACAGATTGATTACATAAGACAACAAAATAAAAATCCACCAGCTTCTCTTTTCAATTCTGAGACTTAATTACCAACATATAAAAAATAAAATAATAATGGTAAAATCCATGTAATGTGAATTGTACAAACAGGACTAAAAACAAAACCCTAATTTTAGATGATTTACTACTAGTTCCTGTGAGTTTTAGTACTTTATTTATTTATTTGTTTATTTTCATCTGAGAAAGAACTTCCAAATCTCTCTATCAGACATCTCTTTGACTAAATGGGTTCCAAAAATGCCTTCCTCATCCACAAGACTTCTCAGGTGCCGTGCTGCACTGTTGACGCCAACGTAATTCTTTTTCGCGGCCAAGAACAATATTCCATAGGGTGGCCTCAAGCACTGATGAATCCAAAACAGAAACAAGAAGAATGTGAGACATACAAAAAATGAAATGAAAATATGCAAAGTAACAACAAATTAAGAATAAAGTAACATTTACAGTTCTTGGTCAATTGAAATGAGGTAGAAAAGACCAAAACTAAAAACCAGCCTGGTTAATGGCCATATTAGGGTTTCCAGACTAAGAATTGACCAAGCACCAGTGAAAGCTGAAATTTGAAGAACTTTCTTTGCCTTGAAATTATCTTATCGAACATTCACAAAGCCAAAATCAATACAAGTTACAAGAGGGAGCATCAATGTCGCATTTTACGTTACCTAGAACATGGATGGTTATGGTATGTAGAGCGGGAATGGAATTGCTTTAAATCGTTAAATTTACCATTTAAACAAAAATGTACTATATTTTGTAATGTGCATTCAAAGTAATTTGCTAGAGCATTCGAGTTTTCTGGTAAAACTAGCTGCATTTAAGTAGTGTATCACAAATGAATAAAAAAAATGAACAGAAATAAACTGACCAACCTTTTTTATAAGAGCATATAGCTTCTTCAAAGAAGAAAATGAGTATGGAATCTCCGCCATCAAAATCACATCATAACCCTCTTCACCTTGGTCCGTCTCACTAGCCCTCTCCCATGCTCGGCTTCCAGAGAGCTTCCTTGATCTCCTTGAGGAAGATTCATGCCCTACAATGCTTCCATCTTGGCTACTAGAACCATCCATAAAATCCTCCTCGGAAAAGCTGAGGCTGGTTGGTTTTGGAACTTCAAACCCATCATTCCTCACGACAGACAAGACTGTGGGAAGTTCTTCCCAATCCCCAGCAAAGAAATGTACTGCCGGAGCCAGAGTTTGCCTCGATGGAGTTAGGGGGCTCTCCAGCTGTCGGCTTTGCCTGTCCCGAGCCTGCTCAAGGTTGGCCAGGACATTAGGGATAGTTGTGCATCTTATAGTTTCGGCATTCAGGTCTTGAAAGTGCACTGTAGCAGCTCCCTGTAATGGGTTTAACAGATTAATTAGAACAAATCAAAGTTCATTTCATCTTAATTAAATTTCATTGAATTTGTCTTTCGTTTATGGTTTTCTTGTCTGTATCTATGCAATCCTCTTGCCCGGTATTTTTAGTGTTTGCACTTCAAATGAACTGTTCAACCATGCATACTCTTTGAAATTATGTAATCTCAGTAACTGACATCACTTCTGTTTTCTTCAAAAAAGTTACTGTCCAAGAATCAATTATATAACATTGTTTCTCATAAAAAAGTTATTATCTATGTCTATCTTTCCTAAACAAACATTAAGAGCATATACATTCTAATGTATTATCAATTCAATGTACTCAATACAAGTGCTCCAAGCCTGTAATAAGCACCCAAAATATTGTATAGTGGCTTTTGTACAAAAGTTGGCACGCAACAACAGCAGAGGTCACCTTAAATGGTAAAGATGAAGTACAAAGTATCTAAACCTTAAATAAGGCTTTAAGAAAACTGTTCTCTTGAAATCACATCCCCCCCCCCTCATTCTTTGATGAAATACCACTAACCTCCCTTGTCAGTTAACATCGTTAAATGAAACAGTAAATTTACAAAATACCCGTATTTGACACTCCTCTCTGCAACCTTCCCCATAGCCTCCTCTCTCTCTCTCTCTCCAACCACTGAAATCACCTCCTCTGCCACCCCACCCTTCACTTCATACTCCAGCTCATCCTCCCTGAACAACCCCTTTTAATTAAGGCTTCAATTAATGGGATTTAGTGGTGGTTGGTTCATGAATAGATGAAAATTACAAAGGTGGTGATGGGTAAGCAGTGGATGGTGATGTCGTGTGATGGAGGTACTATGGGTTACGGTGGTTGTGTGGGGTGGTGCTGGTTGTAAGTTACAGGGTGGAGAAGAGTTGCAGTAGACGCGGTGGGTGCTCCACAGTGGTGGTTGTGATATGGTGGCTATGGGTATGGCAATGGTGGTGTGTCCTCACTCTCCATGTTGTGGTGGCTATGGATTTTGTCTCTGGTTATGAGGGGAGAGGAAGAGGCAAAACTGCCTGGGAAGGAAGCAGGAAGGCAAAGGAGGAGGGAGAGGCAGCGCTGCCTAGAAAGGGATGGGGAAGCGGAAGGGAAAGGGGAGGGTAATTTTGGCATTTCAAGCCTTATTATGTTGATCTCATCATTTTCCGTTTGGTCAACTGGCGGTCCACTAATGGATGAAAAAGAACAACCCGAATGACTCACTCATACTTCGAAATCAAATCAATTAGATTCAAAACAAAACAAGAATAGAACACAGCAGAAGCCAAGACATGATTAATATACCTTCAGACAAGCGAAGATTCCTGGAAGTCCGCAGCTGCAACTTAGCTGAAAGAATCACAAAAACAAGAAAATCAATTCTGAACTGCAAATGTGGTATAATATAATCAAACACAATAAATTTTCAACTCCCACAGCAGTAGAAATTTAGAAAAGGAGAGGGCCTACATGAGGAAGGTAACTTCAAACAACCAAAAAAAATTATGGTTAAGGCTAGGGAAAGTGGTTTAGTAACCTATTTACACAATTTGAATTAATTCAAATTTGAACTAAACTGCGCTAGAGGATGATCTTGTGTGTCTTAAGTGCATACCATGCACTTTGGAATCATAACGTAGAGACCACTTGAATAAATGAAGAGCTACCACATTATATTAGACACTTTTGGTTCCGAAGTGAAACAATATAGACCAATCTTTATTCACTTTGCTTGCTATTAAAAACGAAGAATTAGATGATAGACCCACAAATGAACTGCAGTGAAAGAACAGCAACTAGGCATAACATACAAAATTTCTTTGCTCCATGTACAATTTAAAAACCCGTTCTTTATTGGGAGAACTACATGCAAGTGGGAGTTGGAAAAAAAAATTGCAAACACATGGGGGTGCAAGTGTGTCTGTGGTGGGTGCAAATGAAAGGCTGTGGGGGTGCAAGTGTCACTTGCACACTTGTACCCCTCCATATGCATGTAGTTCCCCCTTCTTTATTTATATTTATAAAAGTATATGATTAGTCTGTGTATATGCAAGTATAAACTTATGGAAATGGATTTATTATGAATCCAAAAGCAGAAGTTCTGATCTGTTTTTAAAGCTCAAAGTGGTTGGAAAGCCTTGGAGCAAAAATATCATTATGGCACAAACAAATACTATCCTCATACGGTTCAAAACATAAATACAACATCTCAGCAATTGTCAATCATTAGCAAGATTGAATCTTGAAATCATGTAGATTTAGATTGAATTACCTCAAGTACCCTTTTGCCTCTAAAGCTCATTTGTCCATCACGAACCTCATGCTTAAGGACATTAAGAAGATCAACTGAGCTGTCCCAACATTTCAGCAGTCCTGCATCCAAACCAGATTTTCTAGAAATAAATCTAATGAAATACTGATGTAATTATTCCATTAAGCACTTCAATCAAACAGTGATATTCATGCATTTGGTCACAGCAAAAACAAACAAGCAAAGCAACTTCTCTGTGAAGCCTGCTACAAAGTGATGTACCTACCATCATGTTTTGAAGATATCATTTCTGAGCCAGCAGAACTGATTATATCAGCAACACTAATTCTTCCCTGCAAGAAGAAGAAATAGGCATGATCAGGTTTAATACCTTTATCTGTGATACAAAATGTATATAGTCCAAAATTGAAGCTATGACTTTTCAACAATGTTCTGATCCTAAATAACAAACATTTCACACAACACAAGACTACTAACCTAGACCTAGACACCTCTACCCTCTCATCCTCTCCGCTCCCGCCAAGGGGAAAGATAGTGGGGAAAATGAAAAATAAATAAATAAATAAATAAATAAAATCAACTCATATGTTTCTATTTACCAGCAGATATTTCATTTATAACATTTTCCTTCACTAAGACATACACCATAAAATCACTAAAGAGTAACGGCATGTCAATATACCCAAAACAATAATGCATGAGACGTGTAACCTTTGATTATATGACTTGCTATTAATCACTAACACAACTAGTTGCTGCAATATGGTTGATACTATATCTGAATGCCATAGAACCTTCACAAAGTAATTTTTACTTTTACAAACAAGATATATGTGCCAACAAGAAGAAATTACTTTAGCTAGTACTTAAAATACCTTAAAAACATTGATCCCTTGCAAGTCTACATTCTCCCCAGCATACTTGTAAGGGTGAGCAGTCTGCACAAAATGAAATGATGAGTGCTTGAAAACTCACCAAACAGAGCATTCAGTTCTCGAAGCTTCGAATATGCAGAAATGAATATATATACCTTTGATGGGATAATCTCCACAGCTGGTGAAGGGAGATGCACATCTCTTTCAGAAACGGAGGACATGCTATGACTTCCCTGGTCATGGGGTGCCAAGCCGGGCAAGCAATGTGAAAGAAGTGATGGTGCACGCATTGTAGCCTAATCCTTGAGCTCAAAAAATCCGTAATGGACACCTGTAATGGCAGGACTTCAGATAAATATTTGGAGAAGCAGGAAAACTGGCAATGCTTAATGGTACCACAACTCCCATCATTTTTCTGTAAAGCTATATCCCAATAATACATAAATAAAAACCCAGAATAGAAAATAATACCAGTCACTAAACTCGAACCCATAAGATCTTAATGATGCTAAATAGAAGACTGGGATTCAAAACAAATAGAAACCCTGTATGATCCTAATGAGTCCACAAAAATTTAGAACTATCACAAAGAACAAGAAAAGGTCAAAACTAGCAGTAATATAGATGTCCAACCACCTAAAAAGTAAAAGAAAGTTCAAATGACAATAAACCACAACAGTTGCATAAGAAATAAATGTTCACTAAACATAGAAGGAAACCCAAGAAGTTAACAATTAGATAACAAAAGAAAAAGGAAGACAATGGGAAACTGTGAAATTGAAACCAATTATTGGCTTACTTGTAAGAGTTGGTAGTTTTGTAATTTCTGTTAGTTTAGTAACCAATATGAAATAGAATGAAGTAAACATGTTCAACTGTAAAGACACTATCAAAACTACAATGTGTTGACCCTCGGGATCGTGTCTTGAGCATCATTGTAATATCTCTTCGTCTTCTTTTTTTTCTTTTTTCTTTTTTCTTTTTTGTGTATAAAATTAACCACTTACCTACCAAAAAAACAAAAACAAAAAAGTGAGATTAAACTCCTTTTTTTTTGCATCATTGTAATATCTCTGCATCTTTGTTTTTTCTTTTTTGTGTATAAAACTAACCACTTACCTACCAAAAAAACAAAAACAAAAACAAAAACAAAAAAGGGAGACTAAACTCCTTTTTTTTTTTCAAAGATTTTATCCAATTAACGTGTCCACTGAAAAACTAGTAAACTGACTATTAACTCTTAAACTAATATCTAATTCCTAAAAAATGGTTTCTCACTAAAAATTACAATTTTTTTTTCAACATACCCTAACAATACCCATGTCTTATTTTTTTAGATTTTGTCGATTTGCCATATCCATATCCATGCTTCATAGCTAAGAAGCCCTTCAAAACTACATCTAGAACACACTGAAAATCAAAACTTTAATACTATAAGAACAAAAACTAGCTTATTATTTCAAATAACATATATAACACTAAAAAAAAATTCTTTTGCCATAAGATCCATAACAGATAGTCAACTAAAATAAATGGCTAGAAATTTAAATCTACAATTCATTAAACATTAGAAATTTGAAGATGAAAACAACTAAAATTAACTATATCTTCAACTGCATCTAAGCTACATGCCATGCTATAAGGTCAACAGCATTAGAGATTTATTGATCAATTGACTTTGTCTTCCAAAAAATTAAAGAAAGTAAAAAAACCTCTTCCCTGAACCAAATTCTTCCAAAATCCACTGGAAAAATAATCCCAGAAACAGAAAATAGAAACAAACCCAGACATAAATACAGGAAAACAAAACAAACCCACATCTTTAATTGCAATTATAAGAAAAACGCAGAAACAAAAGTAAGTAATAAGAGCATTAAAAGTGTGAACATGAAGTCGTATGAGCAAAGAATTACCGCAAAAACAATGGAATTGGATTATCAGAGCGATGATTGATCAAAGACTCAGTTTATATTGAGCAAAAATCAAGATCAAAACATGTAATTTGAGAGAAAAGAGATCGTGCATGACGGGCTATAAGTCAAAAGAAAATAGGAGCGAAGAAGCTGAGAGGAAGAGAGAAGCTTCCCCTGTCGCACTGTACTGTAAAATTACTATAATGTCCTTTACTTTATTAATAATACGAACCTAGTCCGCTTTGATCTTTCTAATTTCTTCTTCTTATTATTTTATTTTTATCCGGAAATTATATTTAAAAATCAATTCAAGTCGTGTTCTTTTGATTATATTATTTTACCCTTAAATTATTTGACTTTTACCAATTTTATCCATATTGTTAACTATTGTCTATGATTTGATGGACTTTGTTGACTTGGTCTTATTTTTCAAACCGTGTTTGATTTATAAAATTGAATAGAAATTTTAAAAATAAAAGAGAAAATATTTATAAAATGAGTTGTACTATTAGGACTCTATAGATTATTTTGAACCTTTCATTTTTTTGACCCTTATTTATAAATTTTGAAATCCTTAAAATTTCTTTTCTCCCTCAAATAATATCAAAATTATCCTTAAACATTTCACCCATTGAATGCACACCCCCCACACCCTCCACACCCCCCACACTTCTAAAAAAAACTCTCTTCCAAAAAATCCTAACAAAACCCACTAAGAAGAATAGGAGTCTCATCATTTTTAAAACCCACGAAGAAAAATAAAAAGAAGAATAAGAAGAAGAAAAATATTGTCTTTACCGGTTTAACCAACTTCCCATCTTATATTTTTCATTGTTCTCATATCCAAGCTCTTGATTTGAGCCACAATCTTTCAGGGAATGTTCCAATACGAAACTTGTCTATGATTGTCACAAACCGTACTTATCTTAATCTATCATACAATCACTTCTTTGAGATTAAAATTTCCGATTTTCAATTCTTAAAACGGTTCAGTTTTTCAAGTTTTCTTCATTGTGGACTTATCTCAAATCACAAAAAGTTCAAAATCAATGTTCGGTTATCGGTTCCCAAACAAATAAACAATGTTCGGGCCCGTGGTCCCGAATTTCGGTCATATGTTAAGGAGTTCAGTCTCGAAAAAATGACAAACATATTTTATTATTTTTGTCATTTTTTCAAGAAACTTACCCTTACAATGTTAATATCCTCTGAGTTACGAACAACATCAAAGTTATGAGTCTCTTCTAAACTTTTATTGTTGTACTCCTCTCGTTTTATGAAGTTGTGGTTGCCAGAAAAATTTTCACTTATTATCATAATCGGAAAAGTGTAGGTAATCAAATGGTTGCTACCGTTACCGTCGAAATATTGTCGCCAAAAGGTTTTTAAGGTTTTGAGGGTGGGTAGATTTTGAAGGTGGAAGTTTAAAAGATGGATCTGTGATGATGGAGGTAGATGCTTTCATAAACCCTAATGCATGATGTAGTAAATGTGTAGGTTTAATTATAAGATGAGGTGTCCCAAAATTAATGATGTCTTTTGTAATAATTTTATTTGAGGTTATTATTGTAATAAAAAAAAGCTAAAAATTGAGGGATCCAAAATAATTTATGGGGTGTTAATAGCATCACTCATATAAAATATGAGTAAAACATATGTACATTTTACATATATGTTCTCTTTTTCTTTTTAAATTTTTATTTAAATTCATGAATTAAAAATAATTTTAAATTATCTTACAAAAATCAATTAGAGCCCTAAATATATGGGTCAAAATTATTTAAACATTGAGATATTTAGTCTAACACCCCTCTCCAATTTATGGTAATAGGAGAGGTCCACAATATTATTTTTTGTAACTTAAGATCCCCTTCCATCGGGTCTTTCGAATCTCACAATTCATTTGCAAAGAGAGGGAAAGGAGCAAAAATTCAAGAATGAGATCTGCACAACCCTAGAATAAGGTGCTAGTTTTCTTGAAATGAACCCAAGTTATTGGATTGATCTATTGCACAAATCCAAGAAAATCGCTCCGTTCAGTGTGTTAGATTTTAAAGCCTACCTTGACCATGATATATTTGTTATAATGTCGAGTCCAACCATTGTTGCTATCTTTGTGGTATTTGACCATGTAGAGCATGAAGATGTATACCAAACCTGTATCGATGGATTCCTAACTGTTGCGAAGATTTCAATGTGCCATGTATGAGAACTGTTGATTTCTTCAATTTTGCTGCATTTTCTTGAACTTTTCATGGTTGTGTTCTCTCATGTATGGAAGGGCTTTTGTTGGGTGAATTTAATTTGGAAGAGAAACTGTTTGGTTGAAATGAACATGAAGAAAGAATAAAGAGAAAAACACTCATCGCAAAAAGTGGTTGTTCAATTTTCTCTGGTTTAGTAAAAAATACAGAGAAAATTGTGAGCAAATTAGAGAAATTTCAACTTAGAGAAATTTGTGAGCAAACTAGAAAAATTTTAACTCTGAGAAATTTGAAAACATAGAAAATTTCAAAATACAAAGAAAATTAGAAGAATTAAAGCAAATTAGAGAAATTTCAAAACACTGAGAAATTTGTTTATGTTTTGAAATTTATCTGGATCGAAATTTCTCTAGAAAAATGTTGAGGGACCTCAATCATTATAAAAATATTGTATGTCCTTTATCTTATAAAATCTTAATGTTAGGGACCTTAAAAATTTTTTCCTAATATTATTTAATTAATAATTTTTTATCTTAAAATGTGAAAAAATACATTTTAAATAAAAAATATTAAATAATAAAATTATGGTTTTAAGTCTCAAATTACTTGAACCAGCTTGTGCCCAAAATTCCTAATCTATTCTTCATGTCTCTCTCAATCCTATAACAATTTGTAGCTAGCTCATCCCTGTATAAATTACATATAGGATTGATCTATATTGAAAATTGTGTATCTAAAAATTTAGATCATGAGCAAAACAACTTCTCACAAAGTCTAAAAAATTAAATTGAATAACGAAAATGAATATCCCGCAATCTCCATTACAAATCTAATTGATTTTTGAATGATTGTTTAGGAAAAAAATTGAATTTAGGTACAATAAGTAACAAAACCAACGACAAGAATAAAAATAATTAAATAAGTTAAATATAATATTATATTTAAATTAATTAAATTTATATTTAAATATATTTTAAATTATATTTTTTGGACTTACGTCAAATAAAGAAATAATTTTAAAAGTAAAATAAAATTTGTTCATGTTTTCTTCTCATCTTCCTGCAAATTTCGCTAATGGGGAAATACCTGATTGTCTCTTGGAAAAGTCGAGTGAAAGATGTTCAGGAAAAGCGGGCGGGGTTGGTCTGTACGACCTTCTCAAGACAAGCTGTGCTGCAAAAGTTTAGAGTCCTCTAGCACTAAGGACTGTCAAGACAATGATTATCGATATCCACTCAAAATCCAATGTAATCTCTATAAAAGGTGAGTATATGATTTTTTTTTCTAACAACTTAATCTCAAAAATTAAATATTTTTTCTGTTTCAAAATATTAGTCTCTTTTCAAAAATCAATAAATAAAATAATATGAATTTATTATTTTACCCTTCTTTTAAATTTATTAATAAAATAAAAAATATAATTATAACAATTGATATTTTAAAAAAATATACTATTCAAGAATAATTTTAAAAAATTAATATTTGTAAAATATAATAATTATACTATTAAAAAAACTCTATAAAACAATTATGTGGGGGCGCATCATCCACTAACTATTGACCTGGCATTTTTATCATCAGGAAGTTGCGCGAAGAATACGAGTCTACGGCCAACCTTGACCACGTGCTCCACACGTACGGCTTGGTTGGTTGGTTGCAATGTTGCTATTTTGGGTGGGTTTCACACCACCTTTTCTCACATTTATGTGTAATTTAATGTTTTTGAGTTTCTTAAAATGCTTTTTTTATAAATAAATAAATAAGGGTTTCTTAAAATGCTCCCTTTTCTCACATTTATGTGTAATTTAATGTGTTTGAGTTTTGAGAGGGAGCTTTTAAGAGCATTAAGGCCGAGCTAAGTCCAGGCATAGTAATAAGCCGTTCTATGGGCCGTAGTGAAAAGGGCTTAGCGAATGGGCTTTACTGGTAGCTCAGTCCAAGTATGGTTACAATCACCACGGTCGGAGTGGTGATAATTAGCTCGGTTATAGTATTTGAAGCCGAGGTATTTGAGCTTTTGATGGTGGACCTAGCTTTTGTTAGCTCGGTCAAAGCTTGCTGTAGCTAGCTTGGTCTCAACAGACAAAACCGAGATGCAAGTGAACAAAAGTCGAGCTATGTGTTTCATGTGAAGGCGCTGGATTATGTATGACAGAGATAGTGTTTGCTCGGCTATATTGTCATCCAACCGAGGTAAAACCATTTCACTTGGTTTAAGCAGTGAGGGGGGTGTTGAAGTATAAGTATTATCTTTCAGGAGTGTGATTCCTAGGAGATCTCTACATGGAGGAATACGAGTCCTACTAGGATTGTGTCAGGCAAAAACTATAAAAGCTCACAACAAAACCTATGTAGAGGTAACACAACTTTGATTTACGAAATATACAGAGCTTTTGCCTATTTGTCTATTTTGCTGACTTAGGCATCGAAGAGGTATCCGGCACACAATCGTTGGCTAGCTCACATTTGTGTTTTCAAGGAATAAAGCGACGACGTTTGGAGGAGCGCAAACTTGGTCAACAGGATCATACGATAAGAATTATTTCGTGCTCGTACAATTGGCGCCGTCTGTGGGAATTCCACAAAGAACAAAACCTCTTGATCAAGCTTTCCTCTCTAGTTAGAAGCAATGGCACACAATGAAGACTTGCCGCAATCAGCCATTGATGGGAAAACCCCGGAGGGGGGTGAGAGGCATGAAGGATTTCCTTCTACCCCTCCCATGATAGATTTAGAACCCCATCGACAGAACCCCCGGAGGGATGCAAGGGGGAGACGGGGCGGTAGTCCTCGTCGCTTTTAAAGTCCTGAAAGACAGAGGTGGAGGATGGACCCTCAGGCTCTGGAGGATCGCGTGAAAGAGCAGAACGAGTTAATAAGGAGGATGGCAGCAGACATAGAGTCAATGAAGCGCCAAATAAAAGGAAAATAGATAGCGACAAGAGAGGAGCGCAAAGGAAACACACC